TTCTTTTGTTGCTTTAGCTCGGATGCAAAAAGTTGTTTTCCAAGCTGTAACGGCTTCCATGATGTTTTTTTTATAATTTTTGCTGTGGAATGCGAACTCAGATGACTGTAGTCCAGCAGTGACAGGTACAAATTGACGACCTTCATACTGTCTTATAACCAGCAGTGGTGCATATCCAATTCCTCCCCATAATCCGAGCAGCATTATCCAGTTGTAATCACCACACCTGTAAAAGAATTCCCTTTGGATTTGCCACGGGGCGCGCCAAACAACGTCATTGCTTTGCAGATTTCGAAAGGCATTAATCCACATATCTTTCTTAATTTCTTTCAGCCATTCCTGCTCTAGAAATTCTTTTAATGGTGAATAATCCGTATTAAAGCGTCGGTATGAAACCTTTTTTGTTCTCCAGAAATGACTACGGATCCAAACATATAACAACTGGGTACACCCTGAGAATCGTCCACCTCCTAGCCTTCTGCAAGCATTTAATGATCTGAAGGTCTCTGCTAGGATGGCAGAAACAGGATTAATCTTCTTCGGTAGCTGTTCAAACAAGTCTACCACTGCAGCTTCAACATATCCCAATATTTTTGGGAAGATGACCATACCATATATACCCAGAGCAAATAGATCGAATCGTACTTTAGCGTCTGGATGACTTTGAATAAGCTCTCTGATGTTGGTCCAAGCAATGCCTTCGCTTTCGCCTTTTTGTTTGGTACGGGATGCTACCCATTCTTCTCGTACCCCAGCAATCTTTGCTAATTTAACTCGAAAGGGTTGAGTTTTAATTGACTTTGAATATATTCGATTCTCCAAAGCACCTTCAAGATGTAACAAAGTTGTATATTCTTCAATAGTAGGGACCAAGTCCTCCTTATTGAAAGTGAAGCAATTGTACCCTGGATTCCAGAATTGAATTAGGGCTCTGAGTAATTCATCATCAACTTCTACATAGAGCAGATATGGAATGTCTCCGTAAGTCTGATAAAACTGCAATTTTTTGTTTGAATCCCAACTTTCCCAAATGCTTCGCAAATCTTGCATATCATTTCTTTTTAATGAAACTGGAGCATAACTGGCCAAGTCAGATACATAATCATCCTGCAGACTGTCTCCTTCTTGTCTTTGTAAATCTTCAGCCCACTGTCTTACTTCTGAGTTTAGAATTACTTGACTTGAACACTTTTTATCCATAGATAAAGGCTTTCCAATGAGACAATTAACACAAGGATCAATGTCTTTTATCCTGTATGATGCAATGCAAACAGAAAAATAAAGAACACACAAAAAGAAAATAAATTAGTTTACATAATAAAGAAATTTAATAATAACATTTACATAAATATTCTTTATTTAAACATGCTTTTCTGAATTTAAATAATTTAAATAAACATGTAATTTAAACAATAAATAAATTAACAGAAAAGACAAAATTCATTTCTCCTGTGTGTACACCTATGACTTCGGATTGGAAGAGTTTCTAAGGTTTTTTATATGCAAGGTTTCAGATCTAGGAGTAAAAGGTACCCGAATTGTCCTTGTTAGTGCCCCCTTGGGTTGCTAACCCTCAATCCTAGTCCATTACAGACTAAATTGGATCGAGTTCAATTCGAGGGGATACATTTCTCTATGCCTGACACGGAGAATAAATTCTCACGAAGACATAGAGCATATGAACCCCGAAAGTTACTTGCTAGGTCTGACACGGAGAATAAATTCTCACGAAGACGTCGCTTTCACTTCCACTTAAGAGGGACAACTCAATTATAGAGCTTTATGTAATGCAATGCAAGTGTTGTGTGTGAGGAGAAATGTTCAAACCTTTGACATAAAAATAAATACTGAAATAAAATACTTGCAAATAAAATAAAACATATAAATATTATAAAAATAATAAATAAATAAAAAATTTGAAAAGAAAGAATTAAAAATTAAATATATAAATTTTTAATTAATAGAGACAATTTATAATTGATTTTTTAAAAGTTTGACCAGTCCCCAGCAGAGTCGCCAAGCTGTCGTAACCGGTTTTTGTCCGGGCACGAAATATTATTTTTGGCGGGGAAATTGATGTGAATAAATGGTTTTGAAAATAATTTGGGAGTCGCCATCGGCCTTTTGGGTCAGGTAGGTCGAATACCTAAAAATTATCTTTTAAAAGAGTTTTTAAGAAAACCATATTTAAAAGATGAACTGATCTGCGTTTATAACCAAAAATTCGTTCTTTTTAATAATAAAAAGGGAATCGTGGTCGGTTACGTTTAGGGAAGGATTAGCACCCCTACAACGCCCAAAATTGGTACTTTTTAATTATAAATTGTCTCTTATTATTAAAATTTAAAAATTCAAAAATATATTTAATTTATAATCTTATTATTTCAAAATTATATAAAAAATATTTATTTATTTATAAATATCAAAAAAGAACTTCTAGGTGCCTTAAGACAGCTCTTTTCTTTGATATTGATAAATTTTAAATAATATTGTTTAATTTTTAATTTTAAAACATCAGAATAGAACATCCAGTTGTTTTAAGACTGTCCTTTTCTTCGATATTAAAATAAATATTTAAAAATTACTATTTATTATATATATATGAAAAAAATATTTATTCATATAATAAACATACTACTAAAACAATATATTTAAAAACAATAAAATAAATGAAAACATATAAAATAACTGACTAAATTACAGTAAAAATAAAATTAAAAATCTAATTTATAATTAACCAAAATTATAGGGATTAAACATGCTATTTTCTTATTTAATAATTTAGTGACTAAAATAAAATTATCTAAAATTCGGATATTATAATAAAATAAATTAAAAATATAAACTAAGGATTAAAATATTATTTATTAAAATTGAGGGATTAAATCTATTATTTATCCTAAATATATTATTTTAATAAAAAGGACTAAAATGAATAAAATTAAAATTCAAAGACTGAATTAAAATTATTATAAATTCAGTTTAGTGACCAAAATGTAAAATTTACAAATACGAGGGACTGCGGACGGGGTTTAACTATTTCATAATTACGCGCATAGTCCTTCCCGAAACGACGTCGTTCGGGAAGGACTATAAGAGTCCAAAACCGGCTGGCCCGAAGGGCCAACCTTCATTTTCCATTTTCTTCTCTCTCTCTTCACTGAGAGAGTTTTAAACTTTCTGCCTTCTCTCTAGCTTCCCTCATCAGAGGGAAGCCGGTTACCGGTCGGCCACCGTGGGCCGCCGTGAATATCACCGCCGGCCACCGCATCCGGTGGCCGGAAAAAAATATTTTTATACGAATAGATAGATCGGACCGTCCTAAGGACGGTCCCGGTGTTCTCTTCCTTTAAAAGGCTCCTAATCGGAGCAAATCTTATAAAAATACCTTCGATGTTTCGAAGGTTCTGACGAGATCCGGTGGTCGACGCTTCCTCGGTAAGTCTCTTCTTCCTTTTTTTCTCTTTTTTTTCTTCTGGTTCTTTGCTGCTGAGATCGTTGGTATTAGTTTGTTTTTTTTTTCTTTTCTCTGTCTTTTTCTTCTCCGTTCTCTGTTTCTAGTTTCTGTCCTCCTTTTTTTTTTCTTCGCAGATGGGGTGGTGGCTTTTATAGCCACCACCGGTGTTCGTCTCAGACCGGTCCGAAGAGGGGGCCTCGGTGAGTCACCGGACTACCAGAGGTGACTCACCCCGTAGCCTTGCATGGACGGCTGGTATATGATCTTCTGGAGTCTTCGGTTGGGACGTGGCAGCGGCGGAGGCGGCGAGAAAACTGTCGGCAGCCGCGTAGAAGCTGGGGCGGCGCCGCGTGGCCCTAGGGTATCAAACCCTAGGGTTTCCCTCTGGCACCATCTGGACCGTTGGATCGTGCCAGATCCAACGGTTGTGATGAGGCGGCTGGCTTAGATTAGGGTTAGTAAACCCTAACTGGAAACCCAAATATTTAGGGTTTCTGATTGGATTTGGACCGGTTCTGGTTGGTTTGTAACTGGGCCGGTCCAGTTGTAACTGGTCTGTAATTATATTTTTTTTTATTATTTATTTATTTTTAATAATATTTATATGTATTTAATATATTTAATAATAATAGTAATAATAATAATAATAATAATAATAATAATAATGATAATAATAATAATAATAATAATAATAATAATAATATTAATAATAATAATATGGATAAAAAAATTAGTATCTTCACATACAATTGTTATTGATAAAATTAAGTACAATCCAACTCAGGCTTTAATTCAATTTATTTGTACAATTATTTATTAATAAAAATATGTGGCATTTATTGATGAAATATGTGGCATTTAATTGATTTGCAATATTTTTTCCTTAAAAAATAATTTAATTATTTATAATTTTAAAAATAAGAATTTTCAAGAATAATTATTTATTAACACAAAGAAAATTGAATTACTATTACAGTGTTAAGTATATATATATATATATATATATATATATTTTTCTTTCAAGTTCAATATAATATAACTCTTCACTTTTTTTGTCAAAAAGAGGAATTAAAATTACATATGTATTTTATAGTGTTTTTATAGTGTTTGAGAATTATATAGTTCAAATTTGATATTTAAAAAACCTTAAAACAATTAAAAAAATTAAAGAAACAAAAAGCTAGGAACCAAATTACAAGTTACAAACTAAAATTAAAATTTTATGATTTATAGAATATTTTCTCAAAAATTATAATTTTTAAAAATAATTACATATTTTTAAAATATTTGTATTTTTATATATTTTTTCATTATTATTTAAAAATATTAAAATAAAATTTTAATTATAAAATTAAATGAAATATTATGAATTAATTTTAATATATGTAATTAGTAATTAAACGCAGAAGCCTAGGTTTGAGCTGACCTTCCCTCCAAACTCCAACGTCCACATTTTTCTCCCCTCCATTCCTCCAACGCAATACTCGACCCCTACTTTCTCCCACCCCTAACAAATCTCACAAAATATTTTAAAAAGAAGGAATGAAAGAAATCTTTCTCTTCCCTTGAACTAATTCGAGAATTCCACAATGGCCACGAAGACTCCTTCCACTCGCGAAGAACACGTCTACATGGCAAAGCTCGCCGAGCAATCCGAACGCTACGACGAAATGATCCAATTCATGGAGAAAGTATCGGCTTACGCCGAAAACGAGGAACTCAGCGTCGAGGAACGGAACCTCCTCTCCGTTGCTTACAAGAACGTGATCGGCTCTCGCCGTGCTTCGTGGCGGATCATCTCTTCCGTCGAGCAGAAAGAGGAGAGCCGCGGTAATGAGGATCACGTCGCTAAAATCCGTGAGTATCGAGCCAAGATCGAATCGGAAATCTGCTCAATCTGTGACGGCATCTTGAAGCTTCTTGACAAAAGGCTCATCCCTTCGGCTTCCTCCGGAGATTCCAAGGTCTTCTATCTTAAGATGAAGGGAGATTATCATAGGTATTTGGCTGAGTTCAAGACTGGAGCCGAACGCAAGGAAGATGCTGAGAGTACTCTCAATGCCTACAAATCTGCTCAAGTAAATTCTTCCCTTATTTTCTTCGAGAGTTTTGGTTTTTTGTTAACTTTTTTCCGTTTTTCAGGACATTGCAACCGCCGAGTTGCCCCCAACTCACCCGATCCGACTCGGACTGGCACTCAATTTCTCTGTTTTCTACTACGAGATTCTGAACTCTCCTGATCGCGCTTGCAACCTCGCGAAACAGGTAGGTTACAAATTCAGCACTGTTTTTCCTTTCATTTAAAAATAAGTACACAAATCTACAGTTGCTTGACGTGTGGGATTTTGATTGGTTAGGCATTTGATGACGCAATAGCAGAATTGGATACTCTAGGCGAAGAATCATACAAAGACAGCACTCTGATTATGCAACTCCTCCGTGACAATCTAACTCTCTGGACCTCCGATGTGCAGGTGGAGTTAATTTCACATTTTAATTTTAAATAAACTCCCCCTCCCATTTATTTATGGAATATAATTGTGATAATATTTCAATAATTAGGATGATGGAGCCGATGAGATTAAAGCAGCAGCGAAGGACGAGGGAGATGAGAAGCAGCCAAAGCAGTAGTCACAACTGACGAGTGACAGACTCTGCTGGCCATTCGTTTCTATTATAAGTTGCCAATTCAAGGTTTTGAAATCAAAATTAATCTATTTTTATCTCTTTCTTTCACACGTCTTTCCTAATTGGTACTAGAAGATTGGGGATAACAAATATTTTAGGTCTTTGTTTTATTTTTGGTGAATTATTTGAATAAATTTAACTTCAAATTATGTAAGAAATTATTTTATCCACGGACATCGAATAACTATGATGTTTTGGAATAACTTTTATTATTATCATCCAAAGTATTTTAGTTTTGAGACACTGGAATCATCTTATTAATTTTTAAAGATTGAAACTTTATAAAAATAATTATTTGATGTAATAGATTTTTTTTCCTTCACAAACTATCTTAATCTATTGAAATATATATATATATATTATTTAAAATAGAAAGAGTCATGTTGGTAAATTAACATTCTCTTAAAAGAAAAAAAATACCTTTACTACTAATGTATTTAGAGATGGACTGAATGAGGTGTTGGGCACAATAACATCCCTAAAAATTTTAAATTTTTTATATTTATCATTTATTTAATATTTTATTTTTAAAATTTTATAATTTTATATCTGTAAAATTTAAATATAAATTTTTAAATCCATACCTTTAACTTAAATCTTACATATATCTATGTATCTGTCGTAGCTTAAATTTTATTATAGTTTAGCTCTATTTATACCGATTATTGTTCCAAAGGTAAAAACATTATAAAAATTAACAGAGTCGTTTCGAATTTAAGAAAGACGTTGTCCAAAACCGGTATTAGCGGAGCCCTTGGAGCATATGATTCCGAGCGATATTAGAACAAGTAGAAGAACACAGGGTGACAGCGTTAAGTAGAAGAGGTCAACAGCTATGGACAAACATAGAGTCTCAGTATTTGCGTCAGTTTCAGAAATGTTTCGAAGTTGTAACAAAGAAGATGGATGGATTTGTAAGAGTTTTAGAAATGTTTGTAATGGCTTTACCTCCATCAAAACTAGCAATTCGTTTCTTCCTTTTTGTTTTTGTAGTGTTTTTTCATCTCTTCCGCCATAAATGAATTCTCTCAGGTCTCAACCTCCCTGTTGGAATTGCAATCTCAAACATTACTTTTCTACATGTCTGTATACTCTTAAAATACATAGTTTTTATACAAGTTATTCACAATCTCTCTCTAAAAAGTCAAAACAACAATAACACACCCAGAAAAAAAAAACACTAAAAAGCTGATGTTAGACAACCCCTCTTCATCATCGTTTCCATTCTGAAACCCCACAAAACTCTGATCCGGAAAGCTCAAGTTAATTAATCTGGGGTCCTCTACCGCTGCCTGTCCCTGGCCTTTTAGGAGTAGAGAAAGAAATCACCGGAACGCCGTCGTCTCCCTGCATATAAACGAGACAACAAAAACAAGAGCTCGTTCAACCATGCATCTTATAAAGGAGATCACAAATAAGGTCTCCGTTAAAAATCTTGTGAAATGCAAAAAACAAACAAACAAACATCTATCTTACTCTTACAGTGGTCGAAGTAGGATCAGGTGGTGGATCTGAATAATCATCAGTTGTTGAACCTTGATGCTGGTGATTATGATCGTCTTGTTTCTTGGGGCATGAAGTAGAGTTTTGTTGGACTCCAGTTTCGAGTCCCAAACACCTGAGAAGAGCCCTTACAACTTCACGGCAGTAAAAACGACTTGTTTCCATTTTTGTTTTAAAACAAGTTGGCTTCTTTCTTTCTTCCTGCTGCTACTGTTACCCTTCTTAAATGCTTTCTTCTCTCATCACAGAATCATTCCCCCCAATGTAGATTACAAACAGATGAAACAAAATCTTTTAATTTTAAAATTCAATAAATTTATAGTTATGAAAAAACAGTTTTAATAAAGAATAATAAAATATCCACTTTCCTATGCTTTAAAGGATAGTCGTTTATATGGCTGAGGTTTAACGAAAAATCCATTAAATCAATTTAGTTTTAAAGAAAAAGATGAATTTATCATTTATTAATTATTTGTTATTCCATTTATTTTAATTTTTAAGACAACAAAAAATTATTTTTTTATAAAATTGTTTTGTTTTTTTATTAAATTATAAATCAAATTATACTATAATATAAGCTCACCTTAAATATAATACGTACTTTTAATTAATATAAGTAAGTTTAATTTCGCAAATTGATATGAATGATAAATATATTTTCTTTTTGTTGTCTTCTTTTTTATTTTAATAAACTTTTATGTTAATGAGTGTTATATATTTTATTTTAAATTTTCATTTAATTATATATATTAACTTTGAGATAAATATAATTTTACGTTTATTTCTTTATTTTATATTTTAATTATTTTTTAAATTAAAACCTTCTACCTAACTGTAAACAATTTTAAATGAAAATAATTTTTATTGAATAGTCTAAGGGGTTTATAAAATAATATTTGTTTAAAAAAATTAGTTTTTGATACGCTTAGACATCCTACAGACGCATCTGCTCAAATCTGTAACATGTAGGGAGAATAACACTATCTTTTATCATTGAGACTGCTCAACAGATTCTAAATGAAATAGTCAAATAAATTCATTTCAAAATTAAATATATAATAAAATTCAACATAAGTTTAAAAATACTTAATCTACACTTAAATTCAAATATAATTTAATTAAAATTTGATTTTATATTTTCATATAATTTTAAACTAATTATTTTTCTCATTTTAAAATAAAAATAGAGTAAATGAATTAATTAAACAAAGAATCATATTAAATAAAAAAAATTAATTATATTTTTATTTCAGGGGATATGTAAAAGTTTATTTAAACATAAGGAATGCGTAGATACTTTTTCAATTTAAAGAGTTAAAAATATTTTATAAAAGAATTATAATCATATTAAAGGCTTGGTACCTACTCCTGCTGTCTGGTGACAGGCAATTAATTGTAAGCATTACGATTCTCTACTCCCATCTCATAACATACAACTCAAATAGGTATTAGGATTCACTCGTTTTTACTATTAAAAATACTTCAAATATATTTAAAAATAATGAATGAGACATTCATTGTTGATTAAGTTAAGGTTATAAAAATTTTAAGATTTAAAAATCGAGATATATCATAGGTAAGTTTTTAAGTTAGATTTATAAATTTTATTGTGCGTGGTTTTATTTAAATATTTTTTATTATCAAATTGTCCGTACTTTAAGTACCTCTTATAAAAGAAGTACAAGGACATTAACCCATAATGGAACAAGAACACAGTAAAGGCAGACTGCTTGAGATAACAAGTGAGGACTTTGTTACGCCGAAAAAGAAGAAAAAACTGAAGGTTCCCTCGACTGTGTTTTTGCAAGAGCATTGGTCAGCCCGGAAGACCGAAAGCATGGATACACACCTCATACTTGGTGGAAAATTCGTCTTTTCCTATCCATATATCTTAATGCTTTCCTGGTAAGAAACATATAACCCGAGAACTTGTGTTGACAACCAATTAATGTTGCAGGTTTGGTTTTCAACTTCTCCCATCTGTCCCGATTGTAAAGCTTGTGTAAATCTTAGGACTCCAAATCACTACACGTATAACATGTTCATTTACTCCATTAAATCGCCAGCAACATCAAACTACAATGATCAAGAGACATGTACTAATCCATTACTCATCACAAACAAAACAAAACTAAACAAAACAAAACAGACTAGCAGTTCAATGAGGGGAGCGGAGAAAGGCTATTAAAAAAACCAGCGCAGGGCACTGCCATGCACTTTCAAAACCAGTACACACCGGAAGTACCCAAACACTTCCAACAAAAGAGTACATCTACTTTTATAACCCACAAATGGGATTTTCTATATCGCACTCTCTTTGAACCTACCACGCCATTTGTGACTTCAAATTCATTCATTCCTCACAGGCAGCAGCTTCGAGAGGAAGCCATTTATCGTCATCTCTTTGATTTTTGATCAAACATTAATTTGGGTCGCCCTTTGTTAATCAAAGAGGATGGTAAGGCACATAGCCCAACATGCTCGTTACGTTGGTTACAACATCGTTGCACTTTGTCAGAAGGCTTAGCATCTGCTGTGAAATATCCGTACTAGTGGTGGAACTGGCTGGTGCGGTGGTTTGAGTATTAAGATTATTAGCATTTCTAGGAGCCACTTCAGTGGGGGCTTTCCCAAAATGAGAAACAGAGGGGTTAACAGGGAACAAAGACGGAGATGATTGAGGAATGACCTTTTGAAAGTTCTTAGTATTATATTCCATTGCAACAGTAGGTGCAGCAGTATCGGCAAAACCAAGATTGTTGTTGTTTCTATTACCAACCATCAATTGATCTCCCCTACTACTTTCTTCCCCACCCAACATGAATTTTACACGGGCTGTACCTCTACCGCCGTTACTGCCGTTTCCCTGCCCTGCCTCTTCACTTGTTGGCTTCTTCAAGCAGGACTTCAGCTGGATTGTTGATTGAGGATAAGGCTGGTGTGCCATCACCGCTGCTGATCTTTCAACTACAGCATCCTTAACTCGAATGGTTTCACCGGTTGTATCGTCTTCCCGTCCCTTATCAGAATCTAGTGCTTCTGCCGGAGCTTCCATACTTCGAAGATGGTATCTCACACTCACATTGCCAAATAGGGAATTAGTTCCATTAGCATATCTATATGCTGTCTGTGCATCGATCTTGTGTCTGAACACAACACGACACGTTGAGGACTTCCAAAACACACGAATCGCTGACTGATCTAATGAGCCAAAGCGTCCAAATCTTGCCTTCAATTCTGCAACTGATGGAAGTGCTACCTGAGGAGGGAACTTCATAACCAGCATTGTAGGCTCAACAGCCCTAGGTGGAGGCTCCATTCTCCTTGCAGAATCGGGTTTTTTGAGTGGTCTTGCTGGTGGCCCTGCAGTTGGCTGCTCTTTAACCTCGACTTTTGGGGCTTCTGAAGTCCTCAGTTTGCCCTTCATCTCAGCAGCTAATGATTTCAACTGCGTGATTTTTTTCAATCTCTTTGCAGCAATTTCTTCTTGCCGATCGGATGGGGGACGCTTCAATCCAGCTTTTGTTGGATCATCAGGTCTTGCAAGGGTTCTCACTGGTTTTGAAGAAGCCGAGTCTCTGACATTCTCCTTGCCATAGTTGTCAGAGGCTACAGACAAAGGAGGTTTATCAGCATGAAGTTCTACTGGATCCATCTCGGATGGTGGTGACACAACCAAGCTTTTCTGATAAACAAGTGATCTGTATCGCAAAAAGAATCGCTTAACAATGGTTGGGCTATTCCTTTGAACGCCATGAAAGGGATCGAGAGCCAAAGCATGTAAATCACTCAGTAGCTGTGCAAGCTCAAAATCAGAACTTCCCATACCAAAGGTTGTGGAAGCCCCAATAGAATTGAACAAGGAATGTGTAGGATCAACATCTTTCTTCTGCTGGTTGACAGACTCATCTCTAGGACCCAAACCGATCTGGGTAGATTTCACCCCAACTTTTCCAAGGAGAGAAGGCTTCTTTGGTTTATCAGGGTGTATTTCTGAGCCAGCCTCTTTCTTCTTTTTCTTCTTTTTCTCCACCGAAGCAGAGTTATCAGCACCTATATCTGCTGAAGAGCGTTTTCTCACTTTCTTCAACCCACCCTCTGCACTCATACTAGAGCCCTTTATATCAACTGGGTAAGGATGCCCACCAGCGACACCATCTCGAACTTGATCAAATCCCTGGTGTCCTTCCAGTTTTGCAGTGGAATCCATATCATGTTTCTGAATTCCTTCATATGAAGACAATTTTCCGCCCTCCTCATGTTTCGAGTCAAATATAACATCACCTTCGTGCTGAAGAGATGCTGGTGCACCATCAATTTTATTCAAAGATGGCTTTATATCTTCAGCAGCAGCATTGGCTAAAGTCTGGTTTACATTTTCAACTGCATTTCCAGATAAATCTCCACTTGAACTTGCATCATCCCTGCTCACAACAACTGCATGCTCTTGTTTTACTGGAATCTCAGAAACAGGAGCCCTCTTTTGTAGCACGTAATCTCCAGCTACAAATGTAGGTGATCCCTCTCTGAAAGTAGACTCCATTGTTGAGCTAGCTGCGTCGTCTCTTCGTTTGAATAGGTATTTGTCTTTCTTTGAATGGCCCTTAACTTTTATGGGTTTTTTAAAACTCTTTCCACCACCCAAGGCTTCTGCAACCACCATTGGTCCACTCAAAGGAGCTGTAAATGGAAATAATCTCATAAGAACAGAGATATGACAATGATCACAATCAAACCAGTAACCAAGAGGAATGCATGCAAATATTATCACGGAATAGCAGGTGGCAGAGGGGCATGGAGACCTCTATCCTTTCAGTGTTGTGTAATACTCCACAAAGTCAATTGATAAATAAACCATAAATTACTGCAAACCTTATGCACAACTTTATTGCCACTTTGGGAAGTTGTTCATTAATGAGAAGGGTGTAAAAGCCACACCCCGAATACAAGTTGTTGCAGAATCCAGTGCCAAGATCACTACTGTGTTCTAACATAGCCCTTCCAATGGAAAATGGTTATTAGAAACTCACATATGACCATATCTATGCATCATTCAATCAAAGTATCAAACAAGTGTAACATCTAAAGACATACCACAGAAATCCAAAATGTGAACCAAGAGCCATGAAATTGAATGCAATAGAATACCAGTTTTAGTCATGTGAGACTTGTAACTGTTTTGGCCTAAAGTCTCATGAGTGCAGCAATAATACATTCGAAAGCAACAAATATTTGGAATTTAATGTAACACTATAGAAGCCAGAATAGATTGCAAAGAATTCAATTAAATCAAAACTTGAAACGGTTTACAAGAATTAACAATAAAGAGTAGACAAATACCCCTTGGTGCCTCCTTAGAAGATCGTGCTGGAACATTAACGGCCTGATTGGAAGGTCGTGATGACTGTGTTCCAAAAGCCTGTGCATACGTCTCATCATACTCCTCAAACACAGCCTTCCGAAAAGCAAAAACAGTAGCCTTATTCTTCAAAAATCCAATGCTTTCCTGGTCACAAGCTACAGGGGCTGATGCCAATTGTTTCAAAAATGAGAGGGTCTCACTGGGCTTAAAACTATTTCTTGCATTCCTAATTTGATTCACTGAATAAATCCCATTAGGTTCATAATCTGGAACATCAACTGCAAAGTACCCTTGGACATTTGTGGGACGAAAATTATATGGGTTCCTACATTTACAAGCCAAACCAAGACCACTCCTCCGATTAGCCTCATCCATTGCCTCCTCCACAGCCTTGACAAAAGTCCTCGAGTTTGTCTGTTGTGATTTTTCAAAAAAATGATGATCAAAAGGGACAAGTTCAGCTGGATCAAACCATCCATAACTACTATCCCCAAAGAAAGCAACCAACACATGCCCCTCCCTCCTCGTGTGACGTACAGATGGAGATGCAAAGGCTTCATTAAATATATGTCCAGGCCACCAAGGATGAGATTTCACCTTTCCCCAAACCATATCACCCACTTCAAACCCATAACTCAATGCCCTTGAAGTAGCTCCACCAATTCTATCATTGGCTACATAATCGTCAAACTCAGATAACAAGGACTTATAGCCCAAACCAGTACCCTTCTCCAACTTCTCCGAATTTCCTATTCTATCATTCTCATTATTTATCATATCATTTTGTTCATCCACTCGATCATTTACATCAAAAACCCTAGATGCGCCGGCTATTCCCTTATCTACACTATCAGCATTTATATCTCTAACCTCCTCAGATCTATCAGTCTCTGGAACCCTAATATCTTTCCAATCGTGTTCCATTGGAAAAACCCTACCTTCTTCATTAGGAACTCCTAAGCTCAATCTATTGCCTTCGTTTTGGCTGTCAATGGCTTCATCGGTAGTAACCCTAGCTTTCTCTTCGATTTATCCGAATTTTTTTTATCAAATTCAGCATCTTCCTTGATAACAGATATCATTTTTTTAATAGCTATAGAAAAATAAATAAGCCAAGTCAAAATCCTGTAAAATTCGGGAGCTTAAATGAGATATATGTAACTGATAAACATACCTTTGTTAGAGAACGATTACAGAAGGTGCTCTTTTCTTTTTCCTGGAAAGTGAGCGAAATTTAGGGAGGAGAGAGTTTCTGAGGTTAATAATTATAATAGATACAAATTAAACAGTAAGGACAATAAACTATAGAGAAAGAGGTGTGTTTGGATGGAAAGAAAATCTGGCGATTTTTCCTTTCTCTATTGCACTCGTTATATTTTCCTTCCCCTTTTTTTTTCTGTCTTTTTAGTTTTTACTTCAAGAAAAAAAGTTCGGAGATTAATATGGCTGGCTGCCTGTATACTGGGATGTATAGGGCACATCAGGGGTGTACAAATGGCTCAGTGTACATCAATCATCTTACGCTCCCCTTTTATGTGAGCCGCCGATCGATTGACACGGAAATACATAGGGATGTGAAAAAACATTCTATCAGACTCATCAGAGTTGTTAATTCCATCTGTAATTTTATATATTTTCTTCGTTTTTAAATTTTTGGATATTTTAAATTATATATTTGAGGAAAATGAATAACCGTATTGAATACGAATCAACTAAATTCTCATTTCGAATTGTTTGAAAAATTCGATAAAAATTGAGTCTTAGACCTTTAGAATTTAGATAGCTTTTAGCCTAATATATATATATATATATATATATATATATTTCATCTTTACTGCTAACGTGACTTTGGTTCTACCTTTGACCGCTCCAACTACATTTATTCAACTCATTATACATATTTATATAATCTCGTTTGTACCTGTCAGTAAATCTGAATGAAAAATCTACAATGAACTAATTTTATATCCACTGTTAATAAAACCAGCAAAACAGAGCAAATATGACATTAAACATACAAAATGGTGAATGAGGGCAATACATTCAACTAAATATATGTCCACACTAGACTTTGTTTATACTTGGAAAGTTAAAATCATAAATTTTAAATTTAAACTTTTTATTCAATTAAATTTTATATTCAAATTCAAAAATTCGGGTATTCGATTTTTTCGGATTGAACTCGGATCACGATTTTAATGATAAAAATTTTCATATATCCTAAAATGCACACCCCTAGATATACTAGCAGAGATTTTATCTAAAAATATATATACTCTTTATTCAAACCCAGTCTGATTAAAGAGTTATATATCCTCCATCCGATATGATCTACCTCAATCTAAATAGTATATTTACTCTACCTTATTCAACCCAATTTTTTAGAGTATAGATCCAATTTGATATGACCCAATGTAAAATAAGGACATAATTAAAAAAATTATAGAGAGAGTGTAGTATAACAATTATCTATAAAGTTATATGAAAATTTTACATTATTATCCCTCAAATGGGTCAAGTCAAAGGTTTTTCACCCTCCACCTAAACTCGAACTCACCCGATATAAAATTCGATCCAAAGCTCACATAAATCTAATTTTTCTGAAAACACGATCCTATCAAATTAAATTGGGTCAAAATCCTTTGATTTCGGGTTAAATTGTTATCCATGTATATATGCTAGAAATTTGTGCGGGCTTTTTAGATATTAAAGTGATAACAAGAGACAAATTTAGGGGTTAAAAATGTTATTTAACCCAAATATATGAGAAAAAGAATTGAGGGCCCAAATCAAAGTACCCAACACAAAGTGCTTCTATGGCATCCATTACCACATAACCCAATCGATAGCCCAATACCCACCCGATAGCAAATGATTACTTTCACATGCAAAACATTCGCTCCTCGCTGTAAAAGGCAAAAGGGTTAAGATTTTAAAGTAATGGATTTTTATGTTTGATGAACGTAATTAAATTATTATAGAGTTTTCGTTTTAAATTTTAAAAACATAATTGATATAATTTGAGAACAAAAATATTAACCCTTTCATCTTTTACATCAGCAAAATAACATCAATGGTGACTACATAAGTATTTTACCCTTATATATATATTATTGCAAAATCATTCATCTACATACCGATACTATTGGCTACAATAACTGAGCGCTCAATGGTGAATAAAGGGTGAGGAATGGGAGCATTGAAGAGAGACATTGTGAAAGGGAAGACTCTGAGATAGTTGTGATGCACAGCGGAGTTCATTTAAGTGAAGGGTCTGAACTTCACGTTTATGGCCAGCCCTTCTTCACGAATTTCTGGAGAGTTTCACATGACTTTTTTTATTATTCCCACTCAAAATTCTCACTACGATTCTTCTGTCGTTCCTTTTCAATTTAATGTTCTCCGACAACTATTAATTATTTTATTTTTCAATTTCAAACTTTTACCAATGAAGTAGTCAGCAGTACTTATTAATACTTGAGGTTGGATTTATATAATCTATGAATATGTTTATTTACCTCTCAAACTCTCAGATTTAAATTAAGATGATGAAAATATTTTCAATCGTATATATAAATCACAAAGAATATTGATAAAATCATAAAATAATATCATTTTACGATGAAGTAAGTTTTTAATTAAATTTGTTTGTCTTTTTTAAATTTAAACTATTATATGCTTCAAATTTTGTTTTGAACTCTTAGGTTTAAATGTAATTGAGGAAGACTTACCAAATCATGTGAAACGTCCCTTTGAGTGGATAGCCATGGATATCATGTGAAGGGTACCAGGTGTACCCTCCTACATTTAAAACCACATGCCTCCACCAACCTTATATATAACTACCCTAAAACCCACCACCAAAATCTCCTGCCCCAAACAATTTTTGTTTCTTTGCATGCTCTTTCCTTAAACTTATCAAATTTGTCTAACAAGGAAACATGAAGGGCTCGTCTCCCGGAGTTGTTGGACGTCTAATGCCTGTTGTTATCTTGTCCATGTTTTGTCTACTCCCGATGCCACCTCATCATCAGGGTACGTGTTGTCTAGAGTTCATCTTGACCCGAATCATAGTTTAACTTTTTTAAAAAGAAAATTATATTTAAAAATAAAAACATATTGAATACTGTTTCTTGTTGAGGCAATCTCTTTTGACCCCCAACATTTATGTGTTGTTTTCCCCTTGTTTAAATCATTTTCATGCATTTGTGCATGCAGCAGCAGCAGCAAGCATTCATGGGAAAGCTAACAAATTTAGGGACAATACACAAATGAACCCTAAGGTTTGTTATCCCCCAAGTAACCCTTATTGTCTAATCTCATAACCTGTACATGATGATAGCAATGAGTTGTTGGATTTGCAGGAAGGAGTGAAGGAGGAAGCGGGGATGGAGTTATACCCGACAGGGTCGAGCTTGCCCGATTGTTCACACGCATGTGGGCCATGCTTTCCATGCAAGAGGGTGATGATTAGCTTCAGGTGCTCCATGGCAGAGTCCTGCCCGGTTGTTTACAGATGCATGTGTAAAGGCAAATACTACCACGTGCCTTCCAACTGACGCTATATTTGCACTTTGTTTTTTCCAGTCTAATTGAAATGCTCTTATTGTTCCAAGTGAAGATGAAATTCAGCTTGTAAATACCAGAATTCAGTATTTTGGTTTCATTTAATCAGAGTTACTAGAACTGAGTTTTATTTTTGTAGCATTCAGGTTTTTTTGTCGGTAGAAATTAAATTCCAAGTGTTTTAGCTATTGGGTTGTAAGGCCTAAATTTCAAATAGCAGCAGGACTAAAGGAGTCCACATTAGCCGTTTTAAAGGCCTATCTAAATTCCCCTTGTAAACAAAAGCAAAAAAAATGGCCTATCTAAATTCACAATATTAATCCATTGCAAGGCCTACCCAATCATTAGCTTATTTCTTTAAGTAAAAAAATATTAATTATGCCATAAATTTAATTATTCATAATGATTCAATTCAGTTTGATTTTTAAAATTTTTTGTTGATGTATAGTATTAAGTATTTTATTTCATAAAATCAAATCAAATATCATAAAAAAAATACTTAATCAGCCTCAATTGTATTAACTAGATTAGAAAAAAATGATATTTTAAAAAATAAAACCTAATTAAAAATTATAACACTCGGTTTGGCTCAAATAGTTATAGTTTTTTAACTTATGAGAACAAATTAAATCAACCCAACCTAATTTTAACAATGTGGATCAATTTAATTCATTGAATTTTATTTTTTTTATAATTTTATTATAATGTATGAAGAAATATATATGTATTGTATGGTTATAAAAAATCATTTAAATTGCAATAAAAATAGTATCATAATATTATAAATATTTAGAATTAAATTTAAATATAAACTCGACTTGAAAAAATTTCAAATCAAGTTCGAGTTATAAAATAAGACTGTTCAATTCAAATAACTCGATTTTTTTGAATTGACTCGACCGAACTTTTACCTCTAGAACCCAACACAAAAAAAACACAACAACAACAACAACAAAAATCTTAAAAGTTATTTTTAGTGAAACATTAGAAATAAAGTTAGATAGGGTTCCGCTTTGGAGCTTCAAGGAGTAGCGATTCTATAGAAGGAAATGAAGAATCGATGGTTGCAAGAAGGGGACCAAAATACCATTTCTAATAGTTTTTACCACAATCAGACTATTTGATGATGTCAAATCTTTGACTAAACTAAATAACTAATGCTTGTTGTTCCAAGCTTTTATCATGCGCTAACCCACTACAGCTGATTCAGTCACATTGATTTAACTTACAAAATTACTGCTGTAGCCCACCCAAGTTCAGGACTCTGCTCTTGTTTTCGACGGAAAAGCAAGGCCATTAGAGTTGGTGTTCCATATGCCTAAATCCAAAGGACATTAAAATCCAATCAAAACGAATCGTTTTCTATTTTTCGACCCTCAACCCCACCCCGACTGCAGCACGTATGGGGATTGTCTGTAAAACTATTGTTTCATCTTTATCCAATTAATTGCTAATAGTAACAACTCTAGGTCTGAAATATTCAACCATTTTGGCAACACTGTTAGTTAAAGCATAAAGACCCATTTT